CCCGTTTAGCCAAGCCTACCCAGACATGTAAAGTTGATGTGTATTCTAATCTGTCTTATTAGCTTGCAATGTATACTTTTGCTTTTTAAAATAAACTTGTTTTTAACATTGACTTTTATTGACAAATGTAAGGTATATTTTATATTCTTTGTAAACTGCCTAGAGCTTTCATTTACACACATACCTAAATACATACATAATTTTATTTGCATGCCGCCTTTCCACAGTTCAAACTATGCTCAAGTCAGCTCACAACATGAAAATAATGCAGAACTATAACGTAACAAAAGTCGGCATAACAATAAATAAGACATTAAAAATACACAACCAAACTGAACAATGTCCACATAAATCACCATAAGTTATAAAATAAAGATACAAAAAGCCAAGAACAGCAATAGCAACTACCCCACCAACAACAACCCCAGCAACACCCCAGTCCCAGTTAAATGGTATACAAATTATTGTAAAAAAAATAAAATATGTCAATGGCCATTGCATGGCTAATACATGGCAACACGCATAATCACATGATAAATCAAGTGGGGCAACTGGATATGCTTTTCCACATTAAGTGGTTATATTTCCCATGCATAAAGCATGGTGAAGGTGCCGTGGAGATGCAATGGGTGGTGACTTCTGCTAATGCTATAGAATGAGTATACTGCACAACAATCAGAAGTGCTGCCTGTGTTGGAGAACAAGATGGCACCCATAATCCTACCTCTTGAATCCGACTAGATTGGCAGTTGACTCTGACTTCCATACTGGCTACAGGACAGCCTCCTCCAGTCTAGCTTATGGGGCCAGGACACTTTAAGAGATGCTGGCCCATCCACGGCACCCACTACCTGAGGTGCGTGCCTCACTCTGCCTAATGGTAGGGCCAGGCCAGCCTGCATTTAATCTATCATTTAGTTTGGTCCACGGATTCACAGGGCAGCTCTGTGGGGACATTTCTGCATTTGTGCACATCTGCTCCCACCACTGAAAGCTGGCCTATGCTCGATGTGAGCAGCCAGAGTCCTGGCATGTGGGCATAACAGACTAATAATGGAAGTTCCAAATCTGTCTTGAATCTAAGCAGAAAGTCGGAAGAATTCTTAGAGTGAAAGATTTGCTGGTTGCATTGTCAATGCTTCACAGAATGGCAGCATTCGGTGCTGCACAATGTAAGTACAATTTTTATCCTGCTTGTAAGATTTTCATCCCCGCTTAGCCAATTCATTGCCTAAATAGAGTTATTAAATATTTACAAAACAAAGAACCTTCTGCAAAGAGGTTGAGGCATTTGAGATTCTCAAATTTACAGCACAATGACAAGTCCAGAGTTATCTGGGCTGACATTTGAATGAAATTGACAATGTAGCGCAAGATGCTCAAAAACCTCTGCATAAATACAAAAGGAGATAGATGGACATTACGGATGCCTTAAATGTAGCTGGAAAGAATAAAAATATCTCAGCAACCAGATTCCTGCTGTATTGAGCTTAAGTAGCACCCTTTTTTCTCAGCAAATCTGATGCAGGAGGCCTAGGAACACAGATAAGATGCAGGAAGCATCTGGAGGTAACCATTCCAGTAGTGGGAGAGATGGGAAGCTGAGCTCACTCCATTGGCTCTTCTGTGACAGGCCAGCTCCATCAGATCTCTTCTCCCCTCAACTGATACCTAGGGGCAGCCATTTTATCAGGCTTCCTCATTGGGAGAGATAGGAAGCAGGGCTCATTCATCAGGTTTGCTATTGTGCTGGCTGGTCAATATAGGATCTACTGTTCAGAAATTGGTGCCTGATTTTAATTTTCCTCTTCCCTTCTTGTTCCTTTTCCCTTGTGTGTTATGCTTTTTTAGCTAGTAAGCCTGCGGTAGGGACTGTCTTGTTTTGATAGTATGTAAACCACTCTGGGAGCCTTTCTAGCTGAAGAGTAGGGTACAAATACATTAAAGAAAGAAAGAAAGAAAGAAAGAAAGAAAGAAAGAAAGAAAGAAAGAAAGAAATAGCTAGCTAGCATCTCTCCAGGGTTTCAGGAAAGAGTCACTCCTGGCCCAACTTGGGGACTGCAGTGCTTGAACAATCCAAATGCTGTGTCATAGAGCTATAGCCAATCTGATGAAGGCAAATCTGACCATTGGAATCCAAGTGAAAAGCGAAGTCATTCAACATTTCCTGCTGTGAAATTTAGGCCATGGGTAAATTAACTTTTGTTTTAAATTGAATACCCTCTCTTGATCAACTTCCTTGTCATTCTGGTCTTCTGAAAGGGTAGATCTAAAGTTCTGCAGCAGTGGATTCAAGAAATCCAGCCATTTTAAAGCATGATTCAACTGATTTGTTTCCGAGCATAATTTAAAATGCTGTTTTTGACCTATAAAGCCTTGAATGGCTCAGGGCTAGTTTACTAGAAGTACCACCTTCCTCTATTATCCAGTCTGCAAATTAGGATCTCCCACAGAGACCTTACTCATGGTCCCTTCAAGGTATTTGTAAGGTAACAGCACGTGAGACTGACTTTTCTGTGGTGGCTCCCCACCTCTAAAACTCTCTCCCTCAGAAGATCCATATGGCTCCTTCACTGTTTGCATTCATGAGTGAAGTTAAAAACAACACACAATTCGTTTTTGGCTTTTGAACGCTCCTGGATATTTTGGCTGCTATGTATCTGCTATTGTTATGTGTATTGCTTTATATATTATTTGTCATTCTGATCTCCCAATGAAAACAATGCAGCACAAAAGTGTTTGTTTTATTAAAATTCCTTTACACCCTGCTCTCTCTGTGGTGTTGGAGGCATTTCCCTGAGATTGGAGCGAAAGATTCAGTATATCCTATGGCCCCTGGGACACCCTGCCAGGGGTCATAGGATTGCATCTTAAAGTGCTTTAATTTGGCTGGATCTTTCCCATCACTATTCCCTTATTAGGAATCATGCTTACAGGTCAATCAGGATAAGCCCCCCACCCATAACAGTAATAGGCAGTTTGCAGATCTGTCTGTCTGTTCCAGATAGTTTCCACATATTTTTTACCATTGTAAATTTGCACAATGAGATCTCAATACTTTGTGGGAGGGGTTGTCCTATTATGCTCCACACAGATTTTTCTTATGATGGGTAGGGGAAGAGTCACCTTATGGGAAGAATAATTTACCTGGATATGTGTGAGAGTTTTTATAGTATAGATTTAAGCGTTTTAACCATGACACAGAAACAATAGTACTTCTAACGTCTGTGTGGTGCTTTGGGTAATACTGAATAATCATAATGGACCACAGAGACCTCGAAAATAGTGAATGTGGTTCAATTGAGAAGGACGGCAGAAAATTCACCACGCTCCTGTATTTTCCTAGCATTTACACCCCGCTCCACTGAGAGAATACATTTTGATTTCACAAATGACCACCATTCTGTTAATCCTTGTGCATGTAGCATCATCTGTAACACACTGACTCCATCTAAAATGGTGGGGTTATTTGGGACGGGGTCTGTGCATGTGTTAGGCATTTAAAAATCTCATCTAACAATCGTGTGTTTCTTGAACCTGAGGGTGCCGGCCTGTCATGAATACAGTGGTGCCTCGCAAGACGAAATTAATCCGTTCCGTGAGAGTCTTCGTCTAGCGGTTTTTTCGTCTTGCGAAGCAAGCCCATTGACGGATTAGCGCTATTAGCGCTATTAGCGGTTTAGCGGCTATTAAAGGCTTAAAGGCTTAGGGGATTAGCTGCTAAAAGGCTATTAAAGGCTATTAAAGGCTTAGCAGATTAGATAAAGGGGGAAAGCGGGAAAAAAATCTCAAGACTCGCAAGGTATTTTCGTCTTGCGAAGCAAGCCCATAGGGGAATTCGTCCTGCGAAGCAACTTCAAAACAGAAAACCCTTTCGTCTAGCGGTTTTTCCGTCTTGCGAGGCATTCGTCTTGCGGGGCACCACTGTACTAAACACTCCTTATTATAGCAAAGTGCACCACAAGAAGAACTATGGCCTAAATGCATTCAAGCAAGTCTTCCTAACAGGTTCAGAACTCAGTGGTGGCCAGGGCCCATTGAAAATGGCAGGGCAGAAGACAAGGAGGCCAAGAGAAGGTGGAACCAGAGCCAATGGCAGACAGAGCCAACTAATTCCAGTTTGGCTTCCTCCCTCTTCCCTGCTGAGTTTTATAACGGCAACACTGAGACTAAGAAGGAGGAAGCTGACAGCCAGCACCACCACACGGGCTGGAGGTAAGAAGGCAGGATCATTGCTGTGAGACATGCAGTCGCGAAGCATGGGAGAAATTCTCTCAGGTGATATGCTGATGGAATGGACACCTCAAATTTGGCATCTCACACGGGTGGAAATTGACATGAAATTAGAGCGAGAAGGAAAAACAACACAGCAAAAGACTTTTACAAAGTTTGGGGTGACTTTATTTCATATGCAATGTCTAAGGAACATGGCTTTTTTTTAAAAAAAAATGATATTTATTAAAATTTCAGAGAATACAAGAATTACACAAAAACAAAAAATAAAAATACAAGAAAATACAAAATACAAATTACAAAAAAGAGTAAAAGACACTTAAAAAGAAAAAAGAAATTGGATCATTCTTTCCATAACTTACATTCATATCCTTGTTTCCCTGACCTCCTCATACCTCCCTTTTTTGTATTCCAGTTCAATTAGTTAAGTCAGCAATTTCTTTCCCTCTTTGTTTTCTCATGATTCTTTAACTTAATATACTATAACTTTAAATTTTCATCTGTTATCAGTCCTTTTTTACCTACACCTTTATAACATTACTGCTTAAACCACCTAGCTTCATTCCAACATCATTCTAACATTCATTAATTTTACAATATTTCTGTAAATAGTCTTTAAATTTCTTCCAATCTTCTTCCACCGACTCTTCTCCCTGGTCTCGGATTCTGCCAGTCATTTCCGCCAATTCCATGTAGTCCATCACCTTCATCTGCCATTCTTCCAGAGTAGGTAGGTCTTGTGTCTTCCAATACTTTGCAATAAGTACTATTGCTGCTGTTGTGGCATACATAAAGAAAGTTCTGTCCTTCTTTGGCACCATTTGGCCGACCATGCCCAGGAGAAAGGCCTCTGGTTTCTTCGGAAAGGTATATTTAAATACCCCTTTCATTTCATTATAAATCATCTCCCAGAAAGCCTTAATCCTTGGGCACGTCCACCAAAGGAACAATTTCAAACTTCCTCTAGGGGGACACAGTAGCAGTAAAAAATGTCTTAAAGTAATTAACTTTTTCCTTTCGCCCCCCCAATTCACAAAAAGGACAACAGTTTCAATCTCAGTTGTTTCCTGTTACTTTAAAACCAGGAGAAGCCAGTCAGAAATATTGTATCTTACATGTATCTCAGATGCAGAGTTAACTGTCAAAAAGTACTTTCAGCAACAGCACATTTCACAATACGGCTTTCTTACTATTCACTGGGAACCCGTTCCAGGGTTTTAAGCGGTGGATTTTAGCTTCTTTTCCTCTCTTTTTTGCAGGGAAATACAGTTCAGACCTTTCCCCCCTCCTCCCCTGCAATCAAGGCTTCACCCGTCTGTGATTTTTGAAGGGTCCCTGCTTCGCCGTAGCGGTGCAGACCCGATTTCCGCAGAGCCGGTTCCCTCCAAGTCAGAGGGAATCCTCCATTACCGATGGCGCCACCCCGGAAGTCTCCGGCTTTTGACCACCCGCTGTTTATGGAAATCTATGGGAAAGTACTTTGGTATAAAAGAACAACAACTACAATAACAACAACAACAACAAGAAAAGTTACTAGATACCTTTTGTCCTGAGCGGGAGTGAAGGAAAGATATGTTAGGGGAGGGATACATTTGTTTGTATTGTTTTGGATATATGAAGGGGACAAAAACCAATTAAAATATTCTGAAAAACACACACCAGCATTTTAAATTGAGCCTGGAAACATATCAGAAGCCAGGCCAGAATTGGTGAGATGTCTTTGGGCTATCTGGTCTCTCATTCTCCCCCTCCCCTTGAAGGTCATTTTTCAGGGTGACCAGGGCCAGTTCCATATCAACCCCAGGCTTGAACCCAGACTGGAATGGGTCCTATTTCCTCCAACAGTGGCAGCAACTGAACTGGCGCTACACTCTCAAGCACCTTACCCCAAAAGTGGGTATTAGAGACCGGACACTGTTGTCAAACCCTCAGGGTCTTTTTTCGGAGCAGGTGTACCATCAACTCCTTTGAGGCAGTTGGGATAACCTCCTCATGCCAAGATGCATTAACCAGGCCCCACCCTGACTTGCACCAACAACTAGGATGGGCAAGGGTCAAGAGGGCCAGGGATGGGATGGGCAGCTAGAAGCACCTTGTCCACATCCTCAGGCCTCCGTAGCTGGAACTGATCCCACAGAACTATATATGACAGTGTGCTGGATGTCTCACCAGAGATTATAATAGCAAAGGAATCAACACAGTGGTACCTCGGGTTACAGACACTTCAGGTTACAGACTCCGCTAACCCAGAAATAGTACCTCAGGTTAAGAACTTTGCTTCAGGATGAGAATAGAAATCGTGGCGCGGCAGCAGTGGGAGACCCCATTAGCTTAAGTGGTGCTTCAGGTTAAGAACAGTTTCAGGTTAAGAACGGACCTCCAGAACGAATTAAGTTCTTAACCCAAGGTGCCCCTGTATCGGTATGAAGGCGAATGGGTTTGTCCTTGAAGTGCCTAGCAAACTTCCAGTGCCTCCTTATCCCAAAATTGCTTCACAAACAAGTCAATGCAGGCCTCCGACACCTCTTTGGGGCCAGCATGTAAAAGGCCCCGAAGCCATTCTGAAGAACTTTTGGCTGGCACTGGGAGGACACAATGGAAGCCGAGCGAAAACATTTCTTTGCTGCATTCACGGCCTCAGACCAGGCTTGACACTGGGCACACACTTGCGTTTGATTGTATTTGAGAGTTTTCTTTTTCATGTTTATGCCATCTCCCTTACAGGTTCATGATTCTCGGACCATGGCAGGCCCTGAGGGAGAGGAGATGACGCTCAAGAGCGATTGTGTCAACCACCTGGGCTGTCTTCATTATTCCTCTCAATTTTGTTGTATTGATGTGAAACGGGTGTTGTTTTTTTTAATAATATAGTTTTTTGTTTTTTAATAATATAGTAGTGCGGATTAGATGTTAGCATTGTACCGGCGATTTTAAATGTGCACCGCCCTGACATTAATTCGGGTACGTTAAGCAAAACAACAAACAAACAAACAAACAAACTTGCTGGGTTTTTCTGCTGCACCTCCCTGGGGGCGGGCGGGCGGGCGGGCTGTGCGCTCTCTCTATAAGGCCTTCAGAGCCTTTGGAAACGAGGCTGCAGTTCCGCCCGCAGCCTGCAGCGGGCGCTGCTGCTACTCCCGCCAGCCCGCTGGCTCGCAAGGGACAAACCTGGGACTTGGAGCCTCTGTTTTTCCTTCTCCGTCCACATCTCCTCCCTCGGCTCCGCCGGGGTGGCTGCTTCTTCTTCTCCTCCTCCTCCGCCGCTGGGCTGGTCTCCCCGCCACCGCCCGGCCTCGAGCGGAGCAAGACGGCGAGGGCGAAGAAGAGCGTGTGCCAAAGCCGCGGGGAAGGCGAGCGAGAAGGCGGCGCGCGCGGAGGGGGAATGCAGCGACAGGAGGCGTGAGCCGCCGAGCATGTTGAGCTGGGCTCCGCCGCTTCTCCCGGGTCCACCTTCGCCAGCGGCGCTGCCAGCCCTCCCGCGACCCCTTTGGCAGCCGGCAGGCGCCCTCCTGAAGACGACGGCGTCTAAGATCCCCTGAAAGGCAGGCGGGCGGGAGAAAGAGAGATCCAGATCCCCGGGGAAGCCGCCTCTCCTTTAACCCGCCTCCCCCCCCCCCGCCCGCCACTTCGGCTTCAACATGAATCAGGCTGCTCCCTGCCGCCCAGGGGAAATTTAAAAGCCGAAGGCGACCACAGCAGATCCTTGGTTGCTAAGGTAAATTACGATCGCCCTTGCGCAGCGTCCTCGTTTCTTCACCCCTCTCCCCCCAACCCCCCCCTCAAAGCTTTGTGGGGCAACGATGCCTAGCAATGCATGACCCCCCACCCCCCGCTTTCCCACGTTAAAGGGACACGGGAACTCATTAAATCGGTTCTTCGGTTCCTTAATCCCAGCCCCAAGCAATGTGTCTGCAACTCCCTTTTGTGCAACGGGTGCGAAAAGGAGGAGCAGCGGGATTCGGATGAAGCAGCCTCGCGGCCCCCTTGCCTTCCTCCTTTTGTTATTCTAGGGATGCAAATGAGTTGGAGGAGACGTACTGGATCGCGGGCGTCGCCGTTGTAAACGCGCCCTCGGCGCGGCGTTCCATTCGGAGCGCAGCTATTTGCATGCGGGGCCGTGTGCTTGGGGAGGGTGCGCGCGTTCATTTTAAGCGCCGGGAGCGTTGGTTTCCCCGGGCGCCCGCCGGTTTCCCCGGGGGGCTTGCGCCCAGAGGAGAGGATCGGGGTTTGCGTGCTAAGCGGGGCGCGCGCGGAGGGCGATCGCTAAGCAACGGGCTGGGCAAGGGATGGCGCTGGCTCGCTGCTGCGCCGCTTGCCCCTGACCCTTGGAGGAAACTTGGGAGCAGGAGTTTGCCGCCGGCGGTCGCGTCTTGGCTACGCGCTGTTCAAATGCAGTCCAAGGGTGGGGGGACGGCGGCCGCGCTTGGAAAATGGTCGCGCTTGAATCGGCGACCTGCAGAGCTAGAGGTCGCAAGTTTCGCGTATATTCGAAGAATGGGATTTGATGTTAAAACTCAAAGCAAATAAATGGTTTTGCTACCAGGCCCCGAAGTACTTGGGGAGAGGAAGGGCCGAGGGGGGTCTTCCCAACACGACTTGCTGCATTTTAGGCTGGAATATACATCCACTTCCCTGGGTGTGTGCCCCGTTGAACTAAGAGGTGCTTACTTCTGAGTAAACGCGCCTAGGGCTGCACTGCTAGTCTTTAAGCTGCTGCTTGTTGTTGTCGTATAGTCATGTCCAACTCTTCGTGACCCCCATGGACCAGAGCACAGCCAGGCACTTCTGTCTTCCACTGCCTCCCGCAGTTTGGTCAAACTCATGCTGGTAGCTTCGAGAACACTGTCCAACCATCTCGTCCTCTGTCGTCCCCTTCTCCTTGTGCCCTCCATCTTTCCCAACATCAGGGTCTTTTCCAGGGAGTCTTCTCTTCTCATGAGGTGGACAAAGTATTGGAGCCTCAGCTTCACGATCTGTCCTTCCAGTGAGCACTCAGGGCTGATTTCCTTCAGAATGGAAAGGTTTGATCTTCTTGCAGTCCATGGGACTCTCAAGAGTCTCCTCCAGCACCATAATTCAAAAGCAGCAATTCTTCGGCGATCAGCCTTCTTTATGGTCCAGCTCTCACTTCCATACATCACTACTGGGAAAACCATAGCTTTCTTCTGAGTAAATGCGCCTAGGGTTGCACTGCTAGTCTTTCAGCTGCTTCTTACACTTTCCTTTTGTTCCACAAAGGAGTTGAGGCTGGTTGGGCCCTAGGGATGGGACTGGAATCCTAAACTCTGCCCCACTGAGATCAGATGAGACTCTTCCAAGTAAACCACACTAGGGTTGCACTGTAATCTGGTTTTCACAGCTGTTCCCAAGAAGGCCTTTTAATGTGGAATGCATCATGTTGTGAATGGGGCGATAGGAACTGGAAGAAGCCAATTTTCAGTGGGTTAGAGGTTTCAGCTATGGGTAGCCTTTGCCTTTGAGTTGTAGATGCATAGGCCCCTCCCCCAACAACAAACTAAAAAGACAGCAATACTTACTCACACATACTTCCATCTAGGCTGTGTACACACTATACCCTTAAATCACATTCAGAGCATGTTCTTTTGCTCAAAAAATTCTGGGTGGTGTAGTTTACCCCTCACAGAGTTCCATTTCCCAGCAGCCTTGATAACTACCGTGCCCAGAATTCTGTGAGGGGACAAGTGTGCCATGCATGTGCTTTGGAGATATAGTGTGCACAGAGTCACTTAAAGCCAAGTAAGTACTTTGGCATAACTGAGTTGTGGCTGCATACCCATCATAGCTATAAAGCACCCACCCCAAAACAGAATCTTGGGAACGGTAGTTTGATGGTGCTGGGAGCTTTGTGAACTACAGTCCCCATGGTTCTTTTTGGCTCTGTATGTGCTTTAAATATATTTAAATATAATATGCTGCCATGGAGTGACTGAGAACTTGCATATTACTTATCTGCAAATCTTTCCAAAGAAAACCAAAGGCTCTTGCTTGAATGTGAGACCGATTTCATCCCCATGCCATTAGCAAAACCTGGCTGGTGACAGAGAGAAGGAGAGTGCTGAGTGCAGGCATCTTTCCATATTCCCAGTTGCGCGTGAGTGTGCCATGCTCTCACAGCTGCATTGCATGGCCATGCTGGTCCCACACAAGTCCCCGCTAGCTCTGTGTGAAAGCAGCTGTGGAGCAGGCTTAGGTACCCCATGTTTCTGGACTGGGGGGATTAGAAGTGCTACCAAAAGCCTTAAGGTTGTGGTCCCTTAAAATTAAAGCTCCCTGGATGGGAGTTGAGTGTGCCCAGGTGGGCTTTGGAAGGGAAGCTCAGCTTTGATTGCTTGTTGAGTTGGTTGAACATGTTGCCTGCTGGATTTTTTTCTTGGGAAGCAGCGGTCCTGTCAATAGCTGCTATTTCCTTATCCTAAGCACAGAACAGGCTTGTACAGCTTGAAGCCTGCTCTCTGAGACTTTGATAAACCTTCTGTTTTTGCAGGTCACGATGAGATTGCTAGAAGAGCAGGGTTGTCAATTAATCAGCAGACCGCCCCCCTCCCCCAGTGCATTGCCGGTATGGGCT